ACAGATGAGCAGGAAATTCCAAGGCTGAGTCTCTCCCTGCAGTTGTAACTTTCCCATGACAGACGGCTTCGGTCCTACATGTGCAGCTTTGTATAAGAGTCAGCTTCCGACCTCAGTCACACTTGCTTTGTTTGTAACTTGCAAATGTAAGGGAGGGCAAGGAAGAACCCAAGCCCAGCCAGAGGTCAGCAGCCTGGAAGGCAGGCTGGAAACAGACCGGAGAAGAAGGCTGTGGAGGCGCACAGAGCCGCGACTGGAGGGGAAGTTCAGGCGTGGAGGGAGGTGCGAGGGAGTGCGCATCTGCAGCTGCAGATTTCTCACAGGACGTCTTCACCTACTTCTCTCCAGTGACTGCTCAACAACAGTTTCAACCACATTTGGGTTTATTATTATTATTATTTATAGAGAACAGGAGCATTTGGTTCTCTTTGATTCCACCTCTTGCATATAAATCTTGCAACCAGTTATTAAGTGCTTGCGAAGCCCTGGCACCTCATAAGTTGTCAATCATGTTGGGCTACAGTGGGCTTCCTGGGAGGCAAGGACTCCACATGGGAGCACTGGCAAAGAAAGCAGGCAGGCGGCCTGACGGAGCCCGTAAGAACCCAGGTTGCTGCTGACAAGGGAACAGAGCTGACAACTAAAGCCCTCTAACCTAGAGGGACGGGGGCAGCTGGGACGTGGGCCTTGTTGAAGGAAAGGATGCTTCAGACCTAGGCAAGCAGGAGGGACAGACCTGGCATAGAAGATTGATTCCTAATCCCGCTGGGAATGAATCATACAGAGAGGAACATGGCTTTAGCCACAGGGTCTAGGCAGGAAGGGCCAGGGCAAAGCTTCCGGGTACACCCCCTCTTCCATCTGAGATGCTGCAAACTGGACCCTGTTTGAAGGGTCATTTTGGTACAGCCACCGGAGACATGGAGAAATAAGAAAGAAGAAAAATTTACTCAAAGTGCAGGGCACTGTTACACGGGGAACAACTGTGACCATAAGTAATACTCAGTGTTGGTAAAGATGTGGTAAAACTGGTACCCACATATTACTGGGCTGCATCAGTCAATACAATCCTTTTGAAAAATTATTTAAAAATATGTGTCCAAAGCCATAAAACTGTTAATAGCTGTGGTACAGATTTTTTTTTTTTTTTTTGGTCATCTACCCCAAAGAAATACCCTAAAGATGGAAAATTTTCTATGCAGAAATATTTATGACAATACTAGATATAAAGTGAAAAACACACAAAAAAACAAACATCCAATAATAAAACACATCTTAAGTATAAATTGTAACATATACAGTTACTGAAATGATAAGGTACCATGCAGATCCTATAATTGACATGAAATAGTCCACCCCCACCCCTCACAAAAACGATTGAACTTTAACCACGCTTTTGATAACTTCCAATTTATAGGAGGGAAAAAACTAGATTAAAAGGAACAAGTTAAACTGCCCCCAATTAAGCAACCCAGAATTATGGAATTTGACCTAATGTCTTCAGCTACTGCATGATCTGGGAGAGCAAGGGAGGAAGGAGCTGGTGGTCACCACCAAGTGCTCCAGATGTGGCTAACGTGACTTACATCTGAACCCATAATCTCCTTTACTATTAATTTTAAATCCACCTGTAGCCGGAGGCTATCATATTGGATGACACCCTTTTAGAGTTCAAGGGTTTAAGAGACACACAGCCAGAGGCATTGTAGGGTGACGTTGGCTCCTGAAGCCAACCAATGAACGCCATGGACCTGAAAGAGTGTCTCAAGGAAATTCGACTGTGGCCTGAGTTAGGCGTTGCCTTCATTAATCAAGATGGGGGGGGGACACTAAAATAATCATAATACAGCACTCTCATTAAGGAGGATAAAGTTGAATCAAAACAAGTAAGACTCAACCAAGAGGTATTTACAGAGCCAGGCCAGAATTAGGCATGAATGTTTTAAAAGCTGTGGATTTGGGGTATAGTTATTTGTTTTCTTTCATTACAAAAAGTATAGATGTAAGTACTCTGTCTCTGAAGGTAGAATGTCCAAATGTCACAATGTCAAGGTTTCCTTTAAAATGCTTCTGCCAAGTGAGAGAAGAGAGAGACACAGAGTGAGGTGTTGAGCCTGGGCGGGGGCTCTCTGTAGTTTCTTCTTTCCTATGTACACTTGAAAGATTTCCATAATAACTTCTAACATTCCCAGTTACAAGGAAAATGCTCATGAATAACATGAAGTGAGAAGGCAGCGGTGCCACCCTTCTGGTCCCACCCTCCAGGGCTTCTGCACCCCTCACGAAGGGTCTGATCAGGTGGTACCACAGGCCACTGGCCGGGACACGTTGGCGACGGTCTGCATGAAGCAACACACTGGAATGGAAGCTCATCCTACAGGAGGGATGTCACATGTGCTGAATTGTGACACCTTAATCCAGCCTGGTGGGAAGGAAGGTTTTTCCTGCCAACTTCATGCTCTGGATACCTGAAGTTCTGCCTCTCAAAGACAAGCCATCTTTTAGGTGCATGTTTTTAACTGATGATAAACAGCACAGCCTAGTTAGACAAAGTGCATGGCACGTCATATAATCTCACCTTACGTCAAGGTCATCTTAGGAGAACACAGTGCGACACAGGACGGGCCCTGGATCACAGAGACTGTCAGGGTTTCAGTCCTGCGCTTCACGGCCTTGGGTTCCCTCCCTTGTCTCTTCAGGGTAGTTTCCTGACGTCCTCAGGGAAGCTCCTCAGAAGTCACTTTGACTGATAGTCTTACTGTCCTTCCCCTAATGACCACCCAGCTCCTAAGTTGTGGCTTCTCGTTGCTGTGGTTTTGAAAACTGTGGGACTATTCATGCTGCAAGTATGAATTGGAGGATGAGCTTCTGTATGGATTTATGAATGACTGTATCCCCATCCCTCTCCACAGATGATCTGTGGCATCTTTTAAAAGCTATGCAATTAAAAGAATCCTGATTTTTGAGGAAATTTGAACAAAAGAAAAATAAAAATAGATAAATGATAAAGGAAAGGGTGGACAACACAGAGACTGGATGCACTTTAGCCCTCTTGTTGCTAGCTCTAGGAAATGGAGTTCTGGGTTGCCTGGAAGCCAAAGCAAACATGAAAAAGTGATCTGTTAGTTACAGGATCACCACGCTCAGGAAATGAAAACAAACCCTTGACACAGATCTTGCATTAAGTAACATGTGCAAGCCACAACAGGGGAGTCTGGTGTTCCTGTTCTCCTGATGCAGGGCTATCAGAGCCCAGCTCCTCACTGATGGCTGTGTTCCAGACATGGATGTTGATGGACACCAATTTACAGGGAGACCTATTTCTTTTAGATGCTATTGATAAACTTCAAACATCTCTGACCATGAGATTTAGTTAGTTTTCAACCCTAGCCTTGTTGCTAACTTTGTTTCATGAGAAGAATCAAGAAAGTGTTATAATTGGAGCTCTCTATAATCCCCAGCTTCCAAACCCTCAATAAAAAGATTGACCGCCAGATTTTAAAAGAAAATTTGTAAATCTGTAAATGAGCAGAGTGGACTGGAGGAAGGCATGCTCTAATTTGCACAGTAACTAGGAGATGTTCTTTCAGATCCCTCCTCTGAAGTGAATTTAATCAAAGTTCATTCATGAATTTCAAAGCAAATCCACCAGCCCACTTTACCTTCCCTTTAGGTCCCTAACAACAGGGCTTGAGGACGGTTCTTGGCTTTAATTCTTTTCTTTGCAGTGTCTACTGTATGTGGAGAATGTTTGCATGTTTGGATTCTCTGAATGACACAATGAATTCCCTCCATGATACCCCCAACACAATTGCTCAGCTATCAAGGAAAGCTTTTTTATCCTGCTGAGTTCAAAGTTCAAAATTTATTTCTTAGCTTAATGCAATGCTAGTACAAGTGTGTTTAATATATTCATTCTAAATGCCACCAGAGGATGGTGGTGTCAACATTTTGGCTTTGTTTGGACAGCTTTTGTGCAAGTGCAAACACTAAGTGTATGAAATCTAATGAGATTAGGCGCTTACTGCAAAATTAAAGGCAGGCGACAAGACTTCAAAGACAGTACCGCAGTGCAGATCCCTTGTGTATTTCTTGGGCCATTTCAGCAAACCAAAGTTTGAGAATCCCCTTTACCAAAAGACTCTCTTCATATGGATACTTGAAATTAAATGCCTCCTAAAGCACATGTGATTTATTTTTGGAGGGGGACACTAAAATAATCATAATAAAGCACTATCATTAAGGAGGATAAAGTTTAATCAAGACAAGTAAGAATCAACCAAGAGGTATTTATAGAGCCAGGCCAGAATTAGGCATGAATGTTTTAAAAGCTGTGGATTTGGGGTATAGTTATTTGTTTTCTTTCATTACAAAAAGCATAGAAAACAATAAAAAGTTTGATTCTAAAACAAGATTACAATAAATGTTCTGAAGGATTTACTAGGACCCAGTCTATTCTAAGTATTTGTATGTATGAAATCAATGCAAACCACAGCCTTATGAGATTGGTACTTAGTCCCAAGTAACGGATCAGAAACCTAAAGTATACTGAAATGGAACTGTGGTCTATTAAACTAGAGTATATAACCAATGTCGGTAGGAGATATAAGCTGAAAATCCAAGCAAGAAAAAAGCCTTGTATCTAATCATCAGCATTTTTAACTTCAACCAGAGAACTGTCCACAGAGGGACTGATGAGCAGGTCTACATTACCTAAGGATCAGTGCTTCTGGGCGAGAATCGCATGGTAAGAACTTCACTGTGGTAATGCAGTGAGAGCATCAACTAACAGCTTCTCCTTTCCCAGGAGAGAGGGAGAGGAGGAAGCAGGAGGGACCTTCCACAGACACTCCAGAGCAGCAGACAGTGCGTGTCCAGAGCCGCCCGGTAGTGAGAGGCTGGCTGGAGGAAACTTAGGTTTTGGAGCAAGCAGTCAGTTTCAGTTTGGGAACGTAACTATAAAATAGAACCATATCGATTGCTGTCTCACCACGTCTTACCTGCTCAGTAACTGCATGTGGTGCAGCACTATGTTTTTGAGAGATTCAAGTGGAGAGTCACTGACAGTGGTGCTGTCTTGGATGTGTGTGTCCGTTACACCAAGAGCCCTGTAATACGGACTTAAGAGACATCCAGAGGGACCCATGACTTCAAACCACGTCAGAGGTTGCATTGCCAAGAGCAGCCAAGAAGACAGTTGCCCAGGGTTCTCACTGCAACAAAAGATGAAGAAATCAGTGGCCTGAACAAACAGGAAACTGCAGGCACCCTGTTGGGGCCCGAAGCACTTCATTTAGGGGAGCAGCATTGGAAGCAAAAACTGTGGGTCAAAGAAAGCCAGCCACCGTACAAACTGTGCCTGTCAGATGGCAACAGCCAGGAGATGGGGGTCCAGAAATCGTGTCCACAAACCAGGAGCTTGTGGCTAAGAGGAGAGCAAGAGGCGGCTTCCCAGTGAGATGGTGATGTAACGAGACGGGCGGAGGCCACTGGGCTCTTTCTTGAGAAAAGTAACAGCAAGAAAAAGAAAATACACATAAAAGAGCAGCAGAGAGCACCAAAGAGAAAAACGGAAGAATGCAGCGCATTTTCACACACCACCCCGCGGGAACCCCCGCCCAGGAGGGGATGGGCTGCTGCACGAGGTCCCACAGGGGGAGGCGCCTCTGCTCTAGTCTCCTGACCCGGGCCTTCATGAAAAAATCTCCCTCAGGAGGTTCTGCCAGAAAGGCTGGCCCTCGCAGCAGCCCGGTGTGTGTGTGTGTGTGTGTGTGTGTGTGTGTGTGTGGCAGGGGTCCTGCTTGTGTGCGCACAGCAGCGAAGGCTGGGTGGCAGGCGCGGTGGCCTACAGGCTCCCTGAAGCCAGGCCGGCCTCCATCAGAGAGAATCGAGAGCTGTTAGACCTCACTGAAAGTTGTCGAAACCCAGAAAATTTGTTGGGAGAGAAACTCCTAAAAAACAAATAACAGACGAGCCTGATGGTGCACGCCTATAATCCCAGCAGCTCAGGAGGCTGAGGCAGGAGGATCATGAGTTCAAAGCCAGCCTCAGCCACTTAGTGAGGCCCTAAGCAACTCAGTGAGACCCTGCCTCTAAATAAAACACAAAAAGGCTGGGGATGTGGCCCCGTGGTTGAGTGCCCCTGGGTTCAATCCCCAGTACAAATAGATTAATTAATTAATTAATTAATGACAGGCCAGTATCAGGAAGAATAGATAACAGAGCAAAAGAAAATGTCACCAAGCTTCACTTTTCCTATTTCCTTTTTCCCCATCTTGGGACACTTAATATCTGCAGCACACACACACACACACACACACACACGCACATGCACACACACACACACACACGCACACACTGAGAGAAAGGAGTCCTTCTAATTCCGATTTCTATCTTGCAAGGTCCTGCACAGGGTCTTAGACGCAGCAGACATTAACGCTCCTTATGCATGAATGCCTTGAACTTATGATAAGCTACTAGTTTTGATATTTAGAATTTATAACATAATGGTTTTAAAATACTTTAAATGATTGATGAAACTGAGCCCAGTAATAGCAATAACTAACATTTACAGCGTCTGTTCTGGGATGCTAAGTTTTTAGCTGTGATTCCTGGTTTCTTCTCCACATTGACCTTAAGAGGAAGAGACCACTATCACCCCCGTTCTGCAGCTGGGACCGAGTGGGCTCAGACAGGCTGAAGGCACCTCAAGGTCACTCTGCTGTGAAGAGGCGCGCAAGGACCCCAGCGGGTGCGCTCTCAACATCATGACCTAAGTCAAACAAGGTCATTGTGTGTGTCAGTCATCTGGCCTGCTGCCTGGCTCCTGCATGGTGGGTTTCCTGCAGGTGGAGGCTGTGACCCAGGACATAATGGGCCCTGTGTGTCCCCCAGCCTGCAGCCTGGCATTCGGAGCAGCCATGTAGCTTTACCGGTGACCCCGGCAAGGAAAGCAACTGCGCTAGACCTTCCAACTGCCTTCCAGATTGCAACTTCTCTGCCTTTAGACCTCTCCCAATAATGGATTTGAAGATGGCGAAAACTCTTGCTTCCTCCTGGTTGACCAGCACCCCAAAGCATCTGCAAAACTGAGAGTGTCTGCAGCAGGGTGAGACGTGGCAAGTCAGTGCTACTCTTAGAAGTTTTATCAATCTCACACGACTATTCATGGGACCCATGTTCAATAAGCAAAAATTCTGTAAAATTTTACTTGTCTTTTTTGTCCTAACCTACAAAGTAGAAGCCAGATACAAAGTATATAAAGTCACTCTTGTGCCCTTAAGAGTGAGATAATCACAAATGAAGTAAAACCAGGTGTCTAACGGTGTGTATGGCCACCCTGTCCCTGGACTGTCACATAAATTCAGTGACTCAACCTCTGCAGTTTCTCTTATGCGAAGGTATGCATTGTTAAAGCAGAAGGGACCCAAAAGACCACAGTATTTAAAGCCTAAAACCAGACACCCGTGAAACTACATCCTCCCAGCTGCCTCAAGGCTGAGCACAAGAACCCGAAAAGCACCCAATGCAAATTCATCGTGTGTTCTCCTGCAGAGACGCACTCTCTCCACCCTGGGCGGTAGGGACGGCGGGCATTCGGTACTTCAGGCCCCTGCCACGGCTCTCAAACGGTGTTCCAGCACCTCGCAGGCAGATGCAGCAGGAAGGAGACAGGAAGGAGACAGCAGCAAGGGACCCACAGCCAGCAGACAGAAGAGATGGAGCCCATGCAGCCAGACCTGCTGGTGCACCTGGTCCAGAAACTAAGCTCACTGGGAAAAGCCTCCTGCATCCCAATCTCAGTAAAAAACAGACGTGTGGATTCTATCTCCTTTGCCTTGGAAAACACTGCTCTCCTTAAATGGAACCATGTCCCCCAAAGATAAAATTCTCTTTTCTCCCAAGAGAAACAAAGAATGTTCAAGAAATTTCAGTGCCTTTATAGCAGCTCACTGCCTATTCGCGGCACATGCTGAGTTCTGAGGTAGACTGTCATCAGCTAGGTGACTGATTAGCCTTGTCACTTCTGCCTCTCAGTCCTCCAAATAGCTTAGCCTGACCCCAACCTCCAAGTGGCAACAAATTTCCCCTTCAGGAATGCCAAAGACCTGGTAAATGAGAGGTTACTTTTTCTGTTCATTAATAGAAGAGGGAAATCCTGTCTTTGGCTGGAGCCACAGAAAAATATTTGGTGGGTCACCAGAAAACACAGAGAGGACAGTTGACGCCCTCAGAAGTCGTCCGACACACTGCGAGCAGCTGGCTCACAGGGAGCCCTGGGCAGAGCAGGGAGAGGACAAAGGTGCTCTTTCTCCAGCTCACTGCAGAGAGGGGACGCGGGGAGGCCCCTGACCGTGTGACCGGGAGTCGGCACTCACTGGGAGGAAGTCTGGCTCTCACAGGAAGCTCCTGTGGTGACGATGACGAGAGGATGGCTGCGACCCACCAGGTTGGCAGCTGGCGCCCTCGGGAACCATCCGTGGTTCACCTCACTCTGACGACAGGCCGCGGCCTCAGCCTCCACTCTGAGGAGGAGCAGGTAAGCTGAGAGGGGAGGCTGGGAGGGCGCTCTGGCTGCCAGGGCTGGGAACAGGCGGCCTGGGGGGGGGGGGGCGGCCACCCCCAGCTGGTCCCTGCCCAGTCCTCCCCAGGAGCGGGCCAAGGGGTGGAGAGGGGTGAGCTGGGCCTCCCGTCCCATACTGCCCCCTTCCTGGGCAGAGCAGCTTCTTCAGGTCCAAGTTTTTAAGAAAGAACTTTTTATCATGCCCCCCACCCCGGCCAGGCTTCTGCTCCTTCTGTCTGACCACCCTGCCCTCTTTGCTGCTCCAGCTGGGTCTCACTCTTCAGGCTGTGGCGTGTCACTTGCTGGGGGCATCTTCCCTGAGGTCCCAGCTATCCCACCCCACCCGTTTGCTCTCAGGAACCCTAACTCGCGGATCCTCGTAGCCCTAAAACCCCGGTGGCCCGTGGGTTCTGGGTGTGATCGCGTCTTAGGAGCTATATATTTTCATGTAATGTCTCCCTCTGCTCTTCACAAACTTCAAGGCACCAAGAGCCATGTCCTTTTGGTCACCCCTTGAGCACAAGGGAAGTGTTTCACCTGTTTAATCACTAGACAGACACCCTCTCGAAAAATAATTCTTTTTGCTAGCCAGCACTCTGTTTCTGCCAAAATACTGAGACCTAACTGGCCACATAGGTCTCTGAAGACCCCAGCTGCTGCTGCAAAACAGGACACAGAATGGAGCAGGCAAAACTAGTTTCAGTCACAAAGGACAGCATGTAGACCTCCTGTTCACACCAGATTCATTACCATCCACCCTAACACAGTGCCCCAGTAGAATTCCCACCCAGCAGCGCCATCTTGGTTGGGTTGCTTCCCACCCAGACTAGAACTGGCCTACATAAAGGATCAGAGGAAGGCAGTTCCGTGTCCCCAAGGTAGACCCAACCCCCTTTCTGGAAAAGTCATGAATAATCCTCCTATTGGTTATCTAAAATTCTGCCCTCACCCTCATGAGGACCCACCCTTTGTTTAGGTTGAAAAGCTGATCTGTGAGTTTGTCTCCCTGCTTCTCCTGTTCTCCAGCCAAAAAGACATCTTTCTTGTCTGCTCAAACAGCACTGGATCTTGTCATTGGTTCCAAATTCCAAGAGGGAAAATGGATCCAGTTTGGTGTAAGAAATTGGTAACATGAGCAAATGAAGATTTGCACCAAATGTTTATTACTATTCCATCAGCTGCCTGTCATGTTGGATTTTCTGGAAATGCTACAGAATAAGAATTGGGACTCTTTCCTCTTTGAGGCAATAGAAAGGAAGCAATCAATGTATCTCTGACCTGTAAAAAGAGAATGGTGAATAAAACCAACCTTTCCCAACAGAAAGCCACAGGTAGGGAGGGGCCATAAACCTGGACAGGCAAATTGGAAGGGTGAGGAGGAAGTCAGGTTATGGAGCCTTAAATTCAGGCTTCAATATAAGTTATCAAAACTGTTGCATAATAAAGTGACACAATAAAGTTGTGAGATGATTTCAGAAGTAAAATTGATTCAAGCAGCAGAAGTGAAGACCACAATCAATTAGGAAACTAAATAGTCCTGGCTTGATTAAATGAGGGCCTCAGTTATCCTGATCAGAGTGGACATGGGAAAGCAGGAATGGTTTCTAAGAGACCAGGGAAGAAGGACCGGCCACCCTGGCTGAGGGAGCACAGTCCATCGAGCCCTGGAGGAATGCAGGGCCTGGTAAGAGGTGCCCCTCTCTTCTGCCCCAGCTCTCTGGGTGACCTTGAACAAACCACCTCCCCTCCTTGGGCGCTCTCTGCAGGTGTACAATGACAGCACTAGACCAGCCCAACGTCAAGAGTTAGCGTTGAGTTCAGTTACCAGGGAGTTAGTAAAAGTCATTGACCGGGGGAGCTGAAGACCCGTGTTCGTGTTGGATATTGTGACAGAATGAGGTACGCCTCTTGGTCTTTGTCCTGGCTTCTGAAACAACGTCAGGCCCACCAAGGCCAAAAGGAGCGTCTTTTCTCCTTCATGAGCCCTTTAACCACACCTGAGTTTGTTAAGGAGGTGACTTTGGGACAGCTTATAAGCAAGGACTGGGGGCTGGTGGCCAGGGAGCCAACCATGATCAGAGGGTTTGGACTTTTAGCCCCACCCCAGATCTCCTAGGAGGGAAGAGGAGCTGAAGGTAGAAGCCATCCACACCCAACATGAAGCCGGCCATGCTGCATGATCAAGTTCCTAAGGGAAGGGATTCGGGATTCAAAGAGTTTTCATGTTGGTAAGCATCTTCACCCCCAAGCCCCATGGGGACAGAAGCTCCTGTGCTTGTGACTGTGCTGAACCCTTCCTATGTATCTCTCCATCTGCTGTTCATCTGCATCCTAACAGATCTAGGATAACCACATTCCCTGGGTTCTGGGGCCATTCTGGAAAACTCTCAACTCTGGGGAGGGATCCTAGAACCTCTAATTTGTAGCCAAATTGGACAGAAGTCATGGTAAGCTGGGGACCCGCCACTTGGTCCTGGTGTCTAAAGATGGGGAGTAGGTGGATAGACGTGAGCAAGGAGGTGGGGAAGAACCCAAGCTCCTCCCTGGGTTGTGTGCCCTGCTGCCATCATGCTGCGTAGGGACGGCGACCCTGTGGTCAGGCAGCCCTGTCAATCTGGAGAAAACAGATGTGATCTCTCTGGAAAATTTCCAACATGGCGAAATTGGTGTGGGTTCCCCAAGCCATGGCAGGAACCATGGTAACCCCAGAGGGAGGTCACTGTGCAGAGGGAGGGTCGCAGACCAGGTATGAAAACTCATTTCCTCTCTTGGAGGCGGCCTGCTCCACATGTAGGGTACTTCTATCCCGCTAAATCATCCCTTCATGCTTGTTCTAACTGGGTCTCTGGGTGGCATCTTTCTTACCCTCTACCCCTAGGGAGGGGCTGAGCCTGGACAGGGGTCTCTGCCTGACTCCAGGCTATTAGAGCAGAAGGGATTAAAGTGTGGGATGCCTGTCAGTGTCCACAAGAACTGAAGACCAGGTTGACATGGAGGAGAAAACCCCCACGTGGTGTGAGGAATGTTAGAGTGTAAAGGAGGAACCAGGAGGTTTCCACTTAAACTTCTTGGGTTCAAGGTAAAGTGAGACCCTGAGAAGAGCTCTCCAGCAGGCAGCTGGGAATCCGGGGAGTTGTGCCTGGGAGAAGAGCAGGCGGGGACGAGATGGAAGAGGCAGGGCCTGGTGGTTCCGCCACAGCGATGGACGGTGGAGAAGAGGAGATGGTGGTGTAGACTGTGTCCATCCATGGAACCCCGGGCACTGGGGCCTTAAGCTTCCCTGGAGACAAGGGTTCCTTTTTGCTCCAGGACAGAACCGAAGCCAGTAAGACGGGTCAAGGAGCAGAGCGTTTTTGTCCTCTCTCAGTCCTCCAGAAAGTCGCAAAGGCTCTGAGTCACCACGGGACACCATGCCCACTGCACCCCAGCCCCTTGCCTGCCACTCCAGGACCTTGCAGAGCCAGAGGCAAAGCCGACCACGGGATGCTTCAGTGCTAGTCTTTGGGAGACCCCTGGTCCCTGTCTTTCAGCGCAATTCTCTTTGCCAGTAGACATCCGGGCTATGAAAAGCATATGTGCTACACCTTTAAAATTCCCTTTGCCCTTAGCTGTGAATAGGGTTCCATTGTCTGCTGCCATCCTACCAGAGAGAGAGCATTGTGTAGTCGGACAAAACTTGCACCCTTGAGCGACTGAGAGCTCGGTCTCCTCTAATGATCCCCAGGCAGGCGAACATTGCCAAGGGCACACACATACACCAGTCCTCCTCAAATTGCATACGGGAATGCAGAGTGCAACAATCCCAGCACCTGACCGCCTCCGTCCAACATTCTGGAATCATCAAACTTAATTTCCCCTTTGTGCAATAAAACACCAAGAGGAAGCTTTAATGGATTGTATTGTGTAACGGTTCTATAAAAATAGCAGGCCAGCACTGGAGCACTTCCTTCCGGGCCCAGTAACCTATGCTGAAAGGATACACACTGGTTGCCCGGGCAACCATGAGAGATGACACTGGGGGGGAAAAACGGCAACAAAAGGACCATTTTTTTGGCTCCGTCAAATGAGGTCTGGTTTCAAGCTTGTGATACAGTGAATACAGACAGCCCAGCTCAGAGAGGGAGACACACTTAGCAATTCTGCTCAGGCACCAGGAGGCTTGCAAAGCGCCCCTGCTTCCGGGTGTTTTTCTCTCCCTTCTTCAAAGAGGGGGGAATGCCTTCCCCAAGAAATTTTATTTTTAATTTAAAGAAAGCAAAACCTTTGATTGTATTTGAACTATGGCAATCAGGAAACGAGGTTCATTTGACTCTCTGTCTCTTCCTAAGAGCTCAAAAAATAATTTCGGTTTCTTTCAATTGTCTTTTCTTTTCTCTCAGCTCGCCTGGGATCTGTTCATGCAGGAAGCAAGTCATTTAAAGGCAATGACCTTTATAAATAAAAAGGGAATCAGGGACACTCAAGCAAAGATGCATTTTAAAAGTGCATAATAACCATTTCTGGGATCCCTCTTCACCACGAACATCAGGGACGTGGCTTCAATAGACCATGATATCCTCTCTCCTGCTGCACTGAATGAGCACCCCTAAGGTTCCTTAGCAGGTCACCATCCTCACGGGCACTGCCTGACACAGTGGGCTGCCATTTTAATTTCAGAAAATTGCTTTTCTTGATCCAGTGGCAGACAGTTCCATGAGATGCTGACAGGGACCCAAACAACGTTCCTCTCACAGGGAGGAAGTGGACCCTCAGAGATTTATCAGCATGGTTTGGAACCTCTGGCAAATAAAACCAAGGCTGAATCAAAAGCGATCAAGCACAAATCTTTAGTATAAAGCGGCATCAATAGCTCTTTCAAAGTGATTCTTGAAATCGGAGCTCATAAATATGTAATATACTTTTAATCTGAAAGACCTGTTTAAATCCTCAGAGAGTAAAGGATTCATTTCAAGATTAGGTTCTCAGCAGAAAGCAGGCCCCTCTGATCAAGTGGGGATAAAACCCGTGAAGGCAAGAGGGAAGCATGGTGTCCCTGCAGGCCGTGTGGCCGTTCTGGGCACTGCTGGGCTGGAGAGGCACAGCCAGGGAAAGAGCCAGTTGTGCCTTCCGCGGAAAAGACCCCTCCCCTGCGCTGTCCCTGCGGCCCCCCTGCCCCTTCACAGGGAACGCAAACCCTCGCTGCATCTCGCTGTCATTTGCTTCGTGGCAACTAACCAACATCCAGACCATCTACCTGGATCAAAAAGAAATGGAGATTTAGAAATTAGGCATTTATTTCTATCAATGCATGTGGCCAAACTGGAGATTTTGGTATCTGAAGGGCATTATTGAAGGCAAAACTGCAGCCCTTCCCCACAGAGCTGTCTAATCATCTCTATTATATACGGAACAGATTAGGAGGGGATTCATTTTTTTCCTTTCTTTCTTTTTTTTTTTTTTTTTGAAACAGGGTCTCACTAACTTACCCAGACCAACCTCGAACTGGCAATCCTCCTGCCTCAGCCTCCAGAGTGGTCGGGATTACAGGAATACACCAAGTTACCTGGCTGAAGTAAGGAATTTTTAAACACCGGATGCTGTGGAAACACAACATCATTCATTCTCCAAGCTGCGGACACACACTTGGATCCCTGAGTGTTGGGGGAACATAGGCAGGGTGATGTGTTCCAATTAGCAGTCTCCATTTTCCCATTACACCAAGGATTTTGAATTCAACAGGATTAACTTGTAGATAGCTGGGGTCCATCCACACCTTTAGTTTGACCCTAAAAAAGGTACTGAAACAAATCTGATAAAACAGACGTATAGCCATCTTTTGTAGAAGCTCAACTCCAGGGTAGAAGCCCGACCCAGGAAACACAAGTGTGTCTGGCTTGCGTCTCTGACCCAAGATTTCAATTTAGTGATGCTTAAGTCCATGGCACAAAATAAAGCACACAGAAGTTTCAAAGCTTTGTACCTGCCATTAAATCTAAGTCCTTGTCAGGTATTGAAGGAATGCTACATAACATGTGCTAGGATCCATATTTCCCAATCGAAGTCCTCACTCAGCTTTCCGGCTTCCTGCACAGCCTTGGTCAACCTCACCTACTACTCACGAGTGATGCTACTACCCAGGTGGCCGCTCCTCTCAGAGGCTGCAGAGTTTACAGTGACATGTCCTCATGTAACAAGGACTGCTACCACTTCTCAGGTCTTTCTCTGGGCTGGCTAGAGGAGAAGGGCAGAGGCTGTCCTAGAAACACAGGTGAGTTTGAGCATCTAGAAATGAGTGGCCGGAAAAGGGAGGGGGTGAGCCAAAGGGACCCAGAGAGTAGTATTCACAGCGTGTTCCAAGGATAATGGAGAGACTGAGGGCTTGGATGAGAAAACAGGTTTGCAGAAGAAAAAATGGAAAACAAGACAGGAAACACTATTATCTGCATTTATACAAAAGAAAATATGGATCATATCACATGCTGGATTAAGTTACAAGAAAACCTGGATATCGTTTTCATGTGACTTGGAGCAAGAATACTAACTTTTCCTCCTTCTATTTCCTTATCTATAAAACAGAGATGAAGATATTAAGAATACCAGGAGTGTAGCTCAGTGGTGGAGCCCTGGTTTACCACTCTCAAGGCCCTGCGTTTGGTCCCCAGAACTGGCGGGGGTGGGGAGGAATAGTAGCAATGATGGCATCGATTTACAAGACATCCCAAATAAATACTGGCCCATCTCATCCTCTACTCACCTTAGGGTTCACTTTCTCTTCGTAATAGTTCCCATGTCAATTTATTCCATTTGTTCTGGTAGGATTAGACAGTCCCCAGGGCAGCCCATGGCCATGGCCTTTAAAAGATCAACTCAAGTTGACACCAGTGAATCCCCCAATGTCCAGGAGGGGGTGCCTGAGAGAGCAGGGCTGCTCCCAGGTAAGTCCACTCCACAAGGCCACGCCCTTCCTCCCAGGACAGGATCCTGGAGCAGCTGGCCCCCACTCCGCCGATGGCCAGCCAACTCCCCACTGTCCTCAAGGTGTCCCAGCCAGGAGGGCCTGGGCTTCCCAGGAAAGACGCAGCCAAAGCTCCTATTCCCGACCTTGGCACTCGGCCAGCACCCCCACAGAAGGGAAGACTCCCCTCTGCTCTCTCCTTCAGAGGGTCTTCAAGGCACATCAAGCCCTGGCCCCAGAGAAGGGCACATCTGTGGCCCACATTGTGGCGTCCACTTCCAGATCATTTCTGTGACTTTGGAAAAGCCACGCTTGCATCTGGGATTGTGATTCTAAGTTGCTGGAGAAAGGCAGTTGTTACATATTGTTTAAAATTTGTTTGATAAAAGGGAATTTCTTCGAAAACATCAGACCAAGCGAGTGATGTAAATTTACTGTCTATAAATTTACAATGTAGCAAGGGAAACTGAGCACAGTGTTTTAATTGATCAGTGCTGCAAGAAACATTTCCTACAGCAGTGAAAAAGTATGTGGCATTGTGTTTAATAGAGGTTAACCCAAGTGGGGAAATAAGATGCTCTTCTTCTGGGTGAGTCTTCCTTTTATGGCTCTTTTTCTCTTTCTGTTCATCTCTATTTTTGCCAACTTTTCTATTAAAACAATATAAATGCTTTACATAATTTAGAAAAGAAAAAGCAAATAAAATGTTGGTGCTACAACCTCAGACCATCGAGCAGGGACGGTTGTGGGCTGTAACTGCTGAACACCCAGAGCCCCCCCTGGCTTCCTGCTGCCTGGGTGGGCTGGTTGCAAGCCAGCTCCTAGGCAGAGCCAGGACCCCGTGCTCTCCTCCTGAGCCACTTTCTAACCTTGCTGTTCGATTCTGATCTGGAATGAACTCTTCCCCCTGACAGTTTCAAGGCCCTCTCCCCTCGATGGTGGCCCTTGCTAAAAGCAAAGGTGAAGTTTTTTATTATTTATTTATTTATGGATACTGCATATTGAATTCAGGAGCATTTAACCACTGAACCATACCCCCAGCCCTTTTTTTGAGTTTTATTTAGAGACAAGGTCTTGCTAAGTTGCTTAGGGTCTCACTAAGTAACTGAGGCTGGCTTTGAACTTGAGAGCTTCCTGCCTCAGCCTTCAACTTGCTGGGATTACAGGTGTGTGCCTCAGCACCTGGCGAGACAGGGCCTCACTATCTTGCTGTGGCTGACCTTGAACTTGTGACCCTCCTTCCTCAGCCTCCAAAAGCCTGGTAAATGTGACCTCCTTAAAGGCACAAGAAATTCTTAGTTTCTAAGATACAGCATCAAACAGCTCCCAGTCATATTACAAGATGAATCATATTTTACTTGGCAAATAAATATTTCATCTACCCAGCTCCTCCACCTCAAAGGTTTTCCCACCCCAGAAGTGGACCCAGTCCACCAACAGTCACCTGCGTGAGTGCCCGGGGCCTCCTGTGCAGGCGCACAGCAGAACCCAGCCGCCATCTTGTCTTTCCTGAACAAACCACTGCTTCCTCAGTAGACTCTGACATGCTCGGGAGTAAAGAATTAGGTCACGTATCTTTGGAATACCAAGCTGTCACAGCTGGTCACTCTTGCTCCCTGGTGCAAAGCAGACTTAGGCAGAGAATATTCTGTGGAAGGAGCTAAACTGTCCCAACCTGGAACTCAAGTGGTAGGAAAAATAAAACAGTGCAGAATAGCCAAGCAATTTACCCAATATCCTTTTTTTTTAAGAGAGAGAGAGAGAATTTTTTAATATTTATTTTTTAGTTTTCGGCGGACAAACAAACATCTCTGTTTGTATGTGGTGCTGAGGATCGAACCCGGGCCGCACGCATGCCAGGCGAGCGTGCTACCGCTTGAGCCACATCCCCAGCCCCAACCCAATATCCTTTTTTAAAAAAGAAGGGGATATGTTCTTTAAGTGGTGAGATTCTTTTGAATAAACCAATTGTAGTTTCATGCGGTTTCTCTGCAATTCGTTTTCACTGCATTTATTATAAAAGAACATCTGGAAAATTCTGACTTTTAAGGGCCCAACTCTTCTTATCTCTGTCTTGTTGGCTGTTTGTTATCGTAAGTTAGCCACATTTTTTTATTAAAGGTAACCATAATAGAGTTGGTTCTTGAGAAACAGAACGGGGAAAAATTAAATCATAGGAGGAAAAAAGATTCTATCTTTTTATTATTAACAGAGCATGCAAGAAGTAAACCAGAAAATGCCTTGTTAATTAGAATTGCTTCCAAGTAAGAATTTTCCAAAGGATAGCATGGCCTCAGTCAGGACTGGTTCTTAAATTATATATGTTTACATGTGCTGTGGTATTTTTTAAAGTTTACCAATAACCCCAAAATTCTGGGCACATATACAAAAAAATAAAATAAAATAACCCACAATTAAATTAGATTCAGCGGTAAAAAGAAAATGTAAAACTTAACTGTCCCATAAGAAGAGGAAGAAAACTCACCCCCTGGAGGGAGACAGAATGCCAAACCAGAACTCTGTGCGCTTGTCCCCGGGCCTGAGTGTCACTAACCACCATGTCACCTTACAGAGCCACTCGGATGGCAGCAAGCCCAGGAATAATCATCCTGCGAGGCCAGTTAGCATCTTTTCTCAAACACAGGAATGACCTGCAGACTGGATCCCATCCTCCCTGCCAAGCCCAGGTCTGAGGCCACACCCTCGCCACTTCCTGTCCTCAAGCACCCTGGCCAGGAAGACCTTGGGCCGACAGCCGCGTGGCACTGCCAACCCACAGCTCCCGCTTCCTCCCCAGACCTGGTCATTTCCCAGAACTGCAACCGAGGAGCACAGGCCCGATGGGAGGGGCGGCCCTGCTTCCCTCCCCCTCAGGGGCAGCAGATCCACAGCTGCCACCTCTCCAGAGGTGCCCCAGAGAGCAGCCCAGAGATCAGGCCCTGGAGGAGCACAGACCACACGGCTCCAGGGGAAGGCTGAGCCAGCTGCAGCAGGACTGGAGGACTGGGGGGATCAAGGAATAGGGCTGACAGCTACAGACCAGAGATGGCCTGCTGTGGCGCATTTCCTCCCGAGGACGCGGGAAGGGAAGCCTGGAGAAGCAGAATGGCCTCTGATGAGAGGTGACCTTCTTACATCTCTTCCTGGAATGCCAGGAAGAACGCTGCTACCTGATTAAAGGGTAATAAATGCAATGATGTGGCAGCGCACGCCTTGAGCCCAGGGACTCAGGAGGCAGAGGCAGGAGGATCGAAAGTTCAAGGCCATCCTCAGCAAGTTGGCAAGACCCTATGACAAAAATTTGTTTTAAAAAGGCTGGGGATGTTGCTTCGGGGTAAAACACCCCTGGGTTCAACCCCTCGTACCAAAATAGATAAATGAATACATCAATGTAACTAAAGCTGGCTTGGGAGATGCTCAGGAAATGATATCCACTGGATCCAGTCACCCCGCCGCCCTGAGCACCAGCCATCCACCAGGCCACACCAGCTTCTAGATTAGGAAGATCGTAGAAGTTTAGGAACATTTTTTTCACATGTCACATGGGTCCTGGAGATTCAGAATCAGCAGCAATTGGAATTTACCAAGGACAGTGAGCTGCACCCCACCCCCAGCCCCCACCCATCCTGGCAGGTCCCCTGAGCCTGCCCCAGCACAACACAGGGAGGTGACTCCCGAAGCCAGTGGGGTGACCAGCTGTCACAGCTTCTTCACAGGCTCTCTATGCAGGACTCCTTTCCATTTCCACAATAAGCCTCAACACCAGTCACATGCCAGTGTTTAACCTCCAAATTCACGATAATCCATCTCTCATGATTGTTCTTCCGCTATCAGAAATCCTGCATCAGAAACATGGCTCATCCTTCAAGACACTGACTGGCGTCTGTTCCATACTGCTCTGAAACACCGTCTCCATCATCACGCAGATGCCTCCAGGAGGGTCCCGTCCACACCTGGGGATGGTCTCCACTGTGGGTGGGTGTGGAATTCACTGCAGATGGGTGGTATGATTGTTGCAGACGTCACTGTAAATGCAGAAAGGAAATCACTGCAGATCCTGTTCCCTCAAAAAAAAAAGGTTCCTTCATACAAGTTACTGATGAGAAATGTTAAAACCACTCCTGTGCCCCAGGGTGCCTCCCTCCTGGTCACAGGGCCATCAAAAGTGCTGGTTAAAATGGGTGCCAGGTTTAGCTCTGCAGTCCTTTAAGCAGAGAGGAGATGCTGAGTTGTGCTGGAGTAAAAGGAAGCAGAAATACTTCCTTAGCCTTCGCAGCCATCCACGAGACTGGCTCCCAAGATCTTCCTCACTTTTTAATCTACCAGACTGTAGAGACAGCACAGTAACGGGGACTCAATCACCCAGATCTCACCCAGCACGACCTGCAGTGGCCAGTGGTTGAAGCCACCACTGCCTCTGGTGTTGGGCTGCGCAGGAGGGGAGAGAAAGGGAACACGCAGAAAACAGACGTGGAAGTAACTGTTTGTCATCAGGCCTTCGCCCGCCTGGGTGGGCAGAGCGCCCTGCGCTCCATCTTCCAAGCCCCACCAAATTTATAGTCAGAGAGGGAGATGGAGCCTCCGCAGGGGGCAGAGCTCCTGTGGAGGGTTCTGAGGCTCCCTCTGACCCAGGGACTTTCTGCCAGGGAATGGGGGGAATAAAAGGTTCATTTAGCTGGTCTGGGCTGTCCTTGGACTTCCAGGCAGAACAAACAGCCCTGGCCCTGCATGCTGGCCCAGCGCCAGGCAGACACTGGGATGCAGCCTGTTTATCAGACAGCACGTTGTCCCCAGCAGGATGTGGGCGGCCTCGGGAACAAGCAGTATGCAAATGAGCTTCCCAGAGACCCAGCGCCCTCCCCCACAGGCTCCCTCCATGGGCTGCTGGCAGTGGCCTCCTGGAACAGAGAGAAAGGAGGGAGAGGAAGTGTCCAGAACTAACCGGATCAGCCCAGCATCTCCACTCAAGAAACACACCACAAAGAATGCACTCCAACCACCACTTCCTCCAAAGAAAACCATTTGAAAAATAGGGTTTTAAAATAGAACTATGCACATATTTTTTAATATTCAAACATGAAAAGACTTCTGCATGGGGCTCCTGTAGTCTTTGTGCAGGGAAGACAATGCAGCTGTAAAATGCTCCATGTTCTCTCCAGAAAATTGCTTCACCATGCACTTGCTCCTGTATGAAAGGGTGCTAAGGACAGGACCCACCCCGCGAGGTTGCGGGAGGTCTGGATGAGGTAACTCCTGGAAAACCATTTAGCAGGATGCCCAGCACACAATCTGAGCTCCGCAATGTTAGCAGGTTTTATATCAAGCACATTGTTGAGCTGAATATCCTAAATCACAAAGGATGAGAGAAAACTAGCAGAGGGAAAAGTCTCAGGGTGGGAAAGGAAGAACAGGATCCTGTTTGCTAGTTTCAAGTTTAATAAGTTACTACTTTGTACAGACTTCAGAGCAAACAAGCTGGTTTATATAACCTCTGGAACATTCCCTAATCTGATCAGAGCCTTGGTTTCTTTCCTTATAATATGGGCTTAACACTCACTTCATGAGCATTAAGAGACAAAACACACCAAAGTGCCCGGCACAGGAGCTAACGATAGCCACTCAAGAGTGGTCAGTATTTGCTTGCTCTATTTACACAACCCTAGGATTGGGTTAAATTCCAGCTACCTCTTTGTAGCTCTGCGACTTTAGGCAAACTACTTAAGCTTTCTGGGCCTCAGTTTCCTCAGCGTGGAATGGAGATCACAGCACTACTTTCCTCACCAGGACGGCTGTGAAGATGGCCCTCACTGGCCCTGAAACCCAGTGACGACAGGTCACTGTTGGTGGCAACAGCACTTATCACTTAACATGTGCAGTCAATCTCACTCACGTCTGAATGTTGGTGAGCACGGGTTGGCTATGGGGCACCCTGACGGACTGCCATCTCTGGCATGGGAATCCCATGGCCTCCTGACACACTCTCATCAGCCCTAAGCACTGACATGAATTATGCCTCATGAAGTCAGAATTGTTCCTTCAAAGTAGGCAAATCCTGGTTTTCTCCCGATGGCTGGACCTACCTTCTCCCATCCCCCATACCACCTGGCAGGGGTGAAACGTGCTCTCTCCTAGCTCTCTGTTAACTCACCGACTTGAGTTCCTCAGGAGAGTTGAAACTGAACAGAGGTTCATTCTTGGCACCCCCACTGCAGGATGAGCCTGACACCTGCACGAGCCACCGTGGAAGGCCACACACACACACACACACTGATGAAGCCATTCCAGGGCCTTCAGATATGGCTTCTACCAAAGCTTCTTAGAGGTAAACAAGACCCCGCCTAGTGCCTCCTGGCCCTCCTCCATGCCTGTGATACTCCACCTGGCCTCGTCACAATTTCCCTGCCACTCTGCCAGCTTCCCGGCTACCCAGGACTCAGGAGGAAGGTCATTGACAGTGTCTGCGTCTCCGTTCTGCCAGCCATACCATGAGGGCCTTACTGGCACCAGCCTCGTGAGAGCGCAAGGTAGACAAAGACCTGATCCATGGGAAGGGCTCAGAACAGGGCCTGACTGAGCCATCGTGACTCCTTCTCCTGCCAGGGTGACAGGAGGATTAGTGAGTCCCACCCGGGGCTTGTGTTCCAGCCTTGAGGCGGGCAGAGACCCGTGTCAATATGACCTCCGGGCAATACATGTGCCCTGAAGAACACAGGAAAGGGAGCTGAGAAAGTGCACTGGAGACCCTCCAGAGGGCCCGGGTAGAGGCCTCTGTGCTGGAGGAAGCCAGCCGCGAGGTCCTGGGGAGAGAGCTCTCTGCAGACGGAGCAGACCAGCCCCAAGCCTGAAGGCAGCGAGAAGCGTCTTGCTCCAGAGCAGAAGGAATGCCCGGGGCCTGGCTGCAGTGGAGTCAGGGCTGGCCAGGAAGCCTGGCAGGCAGAGGGCCGTGTGCAGCAGGGAAGTCTGGCTTCCGTTCCGTGGGTGCAGGGATGCCTTTGTTGGGTCTTGCAAACTGACATGATCTCATTAATGTTTTTAAATAATCACTCTGGCTGCCATGTGGGTTGGAATCAGGGAGATGAATTTGGAAGCCCTTGCCGTAATCCAACCAAAACAAAACGGAGGAACAAGAAGTAGCCAAATGGGGGCAGGGACAGTGGGGAAGAAAGAGGTGGAGCTGGGTGGGTTCTGAAGATAGCTCCTCAGGATGTGCTGGCAGGTCACCAACACAGATAACCAAGGTAAAGTGCTTATTAAAGGAGCAGCCGCTCAGATGAGGTCACACTTTCTTAACGCTGGGCGTTAGATCAATCTCCAAAGCCCAAAACGGCCCAGCAAAGTTAAACGTTCTCTAATGAACACACAAAGGGACAGAGCTAGAGGCACTTCCCAGCCAGGGAGGGGGAAGCTGAGTACCCTGGCCAGTGGCCGCCTCGTCCTTGGCCTGCAGCAGGCGGTGGGCCTCGGGGAGGACCTTGCTGGCGCCATGCCAACAAGACGTGGACATCCCCGCAGCATGTTGGCAGAGGGAGCCAAGCCCTGAAGCCCGGGCTAGCGGGGGGGGGGGGGGTCCCTCGAAGCCTGTGTGTAGCATGCAAGGGGCCCAGAGGGTGCATCCCTGGCCACAGACCCAGAAGAGCCAGC